ACACAACTGAAACCTAATTCAGAAGTTCTTAATCCAAGAGAATTATATACTGATTTTAGTAACCTGTAGTAAAATTCATTAGCAAAAAACCTGCTCTGCAGCACTTAAGATAATTAAAGTTTAAACTGTATATAACACAATTGAACAAGAGTGCAAGACAATTGAAAAGTGTTCAAAAGAAAGGAGAAAAGAGAGGATGAAGTTTCAAAATTCTGTGTAAATACACAACTTGGATGAGAGACAGAAGTACAGCTTCATGTGCCAGAAGCTGTGGAGGAAGAGGTGTTTGCACCAACAGGGACCAGATTGTGTGCACATACTGCTTTAGGAAAACAGAAACCAAGGAGTCCCTCAAAGACCATTCTTTACAGGAACCAGCCTTTGTTTGCAGCCCAAAGGCTCTTGAGCTATCATACTCTTAATTTAAGACACAGTTATTAGGAGCAGTGTTAGTTTTATGCAATCTTGTCAGGTTTTAAACTGTATCATTATTTCAGAAGCAGTGCCTTAAGGGTGCATTATTTCTTAAAAAGAAAAACAAAACAACAACTCATCTGCTCACCTGGGTAAGACAAACCAACAGTGTGTTTTTATTTGCTGAGATAATTTGTGAACATTTGTTTCTGCTGAGGTTTCAAAGTTAATTTTATTCCAATCTGTTTATAGCTGACACATTTTTTAAGCCACAGGATCATGTTTTCTCCTTTTTGCAGTTTTGGGGCCTTTTTTGGGTTCACAGTTCTTCTAGCAGCTCCATTTATGTACTACTGAGTAATCTGCAACCTTTTTGAGGGAACTGAGTTGCACCAAGATTATGAGCTGTGAGCAGGGGTGTAAAAATTGAGGCTTAAATCTGGAATAATTCAGGCAATTGCAGCTGCATGCAGATGAGCAGGCACGGCCTTTGAAAACATAAGAAAAAAGGTTGTGTGGAGACAAGTAAGTAATCAAAAGCCTGCCGGTTCCATTGTGATATGACAAGTACTATAAGTTCACCACTGGTGCAGAGTTGAATTTTATGTGTTGCTTCGAGGCATCACAAAGTTTCACAGTTGGGACAACTTTACTTGTAACTTGTTATTTTATATGTCAGAGGGTTTAGCTGTTTCCCTATTCATTATGCCAGTGTAGAGAGAAAAGTTCACACCATCCTGTAATCTCTAGTCATACTTCAAATGATAGTTTCTACTGACAGCAGAAGTTTGCTCTTTTGTCAGCTGTTTTAAGAACTGGGAAAGTCTGTGCTCTTGCACTGGAACATTCTGTTTTATTTTTTAAAAGAAAAGGTATTAAACAGAAAGGGTCATAGGTAGTTGGTTTTTGGTTTTGTGTGGTGTGTTTTTTTTTGTTTTTTTTGTTTTTTTTTTTTTTTGCCTTTACATAGTAAAATATGCAAAGAATAGATCAACTGAGCATCTTTCAAAGTACAATGGCTCAGTAAGTAAAATGTGACGCCGGGTCGTAAAGCATATTTTGATTACCATTGTCTAAACTAGATTGGTGGCAAAGTCATCTTTTTTCCCTTGTTTTCCAAACCTTCATTGATATGCAAGACCTCCCAAGATTACCTCTTTGCATGTAAACAGTGTGAGATGCTATATAACCAAGGATACAGATGTATCTATATATATTGACTCCTTAGAAATTCCAAGAGACATCCAGGCATGTTTGTTATGCATGTGTAGACAGTAATGCAGGCTTTTTTAATGGTAAAAATACTTGTTCCTCATCTTGATAAGGTGATTACTAAGAGGGAGAAATACTTCAAAGTGATGTTTTACTGTTGGCATCTGCAGTATAAAAAGGGTCTGGGAAGATGATAAAGTATATTAGTTGTGAACAAACATTCCTATGATGGAATACAGAAGGTAAACCCAGCTAATTTTGACTCGAAAGTCGAACAGAAAACATGTTCTAGGACAACTTGAGGAAAAAATTATTACAGATCATTAACAGTAATAACTGTTAGGAAGAGAAATGTCCAGAACAACAGGACTTGGAGTGTTCAAGGGTTATAAATGCCTCTTTGTTCATTATCAGATTCTGCTAAACTGCATCCCATTGAAGTACCACTTACCAAAAAAGGCAGACGTCTGTCTCTAAGTGCTGCAATTGTACATCTGTCTCATGGTTTACCATTAAAGCCTGAGAATGTGCAAAAGCATTTCTTGGACCGAGTCACTTGTTGTTGTCCTGTTTCCAAACTCTATGCTACATTGCACTGTATATAAGCAGCATCTTCTCTGTGGACAAAATAGATGAGATCTGGTTAGCAGTAGATTAAAAACTGATGACTAAAATAATTAAGAATACTGGGTGCATATTAAATACCAACTTGAATTAAATTTACTGAAAAGATATGCATGTCAGTAATTGAAAATTGCCTAAATTTGTTTAAAAACAAAGAACATAGAAACTAATGATAGAGGAGCAAACAAAAAAAATTTAGAAATTATGTTTTCTTATTATTTTTCACCATGTTCTAACATAAACTATTAGACTAATACAGAAGAACCTGGAATACATACTCAACAGAAAAACCAGGACAGATTTCTTGAGATTTCTTTCAATGTACTGACTCCTGTGGAAATATATTTATAAGTTTTAATGAAGTATAGTTACATTTTCTAGATGTTTTATTGAAATACATTTAGATGTAAAATAAGTCAGTAGGCTGTGTAATGAAATCAAGGTCTATAAAGCAAAAAAGAGAAAAATCAGTCTCTCCAACATAATTTCTACTGGTCTTTTTTTTTTTTAAATTATAAATCCACCAAATTTAAGTATTTATGTCTTTCATAGCTAAAAATAATTCCCTAGCCTAGCCTGTCATCTTGCTGAACTCCGTGATAAAGACAGCTACTCTTTGGCTTTATGACCCACTTGATTATTTGTCCTGGATAGATGACAAAATAACAAGTTACAGGATGGATGAAAGCCAGCTATATATTCCATATAACATATGTTATATGTTACAGTAGGAAAATGGGGATCCAAAGCCTGATGGCTGCAGTTTGCAATGGTTTTAAAAAGAACAGTTAAACTTTAGATTTTTTTTAGGTAAAAAAAAAAAATCTAACCACCCCTCTCTGTGGTTTTCTTAGCTACAGTTATCACAATTTATTAGTGTTACAAAAACTTGATCAAGTTATGCTTACCTATTATTGCTGTCTCTGAGGCCATCTACAAAGTTTGTCCAGAGACCTGAATTATGTAATTTCCTTATATTTATTTTATAACTAAGATTTCTACTCTATTCTGGTAGAGTACTGGACTTCTGAGTACTGGTAGAGTATTCTGGACTTCTCCTTTGCTGTTCTTTTCATTTTTATTTTCTAGGCATTTAGCCCTTTACCTTGTTAGAAAGGGCCAAACATTGAGTGGGTGTGGTCATTCCCAGTACATCCAACTTGAAAAATGGATTGGGCATACAGTGAGGTGCTGGGGTAGGACTCAAAATTTGTTCTCTTTCTAACTCAAGGTTGCAAAGTTTTTACAGTGTTATTTAAAGGTGTGCTGTAATGCATGGCCCACTCCCTTCTTGATCAAAAATATCAGATTCAATCCTAATTGCTGTTCTTTTTACTCTTTGAGCCATCCAAAGAGGAACATGTTACAAATAGTGGGATCCAGCTGGGTCCCTTCTCTCGTTCATGCCAGTAGTGCTGCTGTAGGTCAAGCAATAGGCTGAATAGGTTGCATTCTTTCAGAACTTGTGGTCCATTCAAAACTAGAGAGATTGCTTTTTTGCGTTATTTTAACATCTTCGGAAATGTAAGGATTGCAGCGGTAGATTAAGAAGAAAGCAAAGATGAAGCAATAGTCTCAGTGGTTCATGGTGAGAGTTTTAGGCATGCTGTGGGCAGAAATATGAATAACAGCTCTTCTTGGTGGTAAAGAAGCAGAATGCACTCAGTATGAGATGTCAGGCTCAAGACTGTGGAGCTGTGCAATATTAGCAGCCTGGCATTTCTTCTTTTAACTTTAGTTCTTAGTACAACTGTATTGGCTACTTTTGCCTTTGTTTAACCCTTTTTATAGAGAAGATGCTGTTGGTAAGCCTGAAGCTTTTTGGTTTTGCTTTTGCATTTTTACTTAATTGGTGTTTGTCTTCAACATATGCTAGCACATTTAAAATATATATCTTTGACTTTGAAAAGAGAAAACTCCAATGACTTACTGACTATAGCGAATTCTATGTATTCCAAGTGTTATACCATAGACAACTCTTGTCATATTTGACTTTTTTGTATTATTTGAATTCAGAAATCATGTCCAAAAAACCTGTTATCCTTTCTTATTGGAAAAGCTTTTTAACCTTTTACAAGGAGTACAGGTTTATTTTCATGCTTAATTTGGGTTTAAATAAGAAAAGTTCTCTGTCATTTTGATTTTTTCCCTGCTGTTAAGTAATTTTCTAAAGTACCCAATAGGTACATGTTGAACATTCAGATCTGAAAATTTGTACATCTTTTTTTTAAGAGAACCTTATCTTTATTTTCTTTAGATTTTATTGGTAAAAGCTTGGATTTTGGCTATGAAACCTTGGAGATTTGTGCAACAGCATTAAAAAGGCATCCAGCATGAAAATGTGTGCTTATTCCCTTGAAAGATAAAACGATTTCTTTTTAATTTTCTTTTAAAATCTTGTCATTCTAGACATAAAACAATACATGGAAGATTATTTTTCCTCCTTCACTTATGAAGTTATGTCCCTCACAATAACAGAATTTTTTATTGTAGGATTGAAAATCGGAAGGGTCAAACATTTGACAGTAATAAATTATGTCTTCATCTTGGCATTAGTTTATTTTGTTGGTTTCAAATTACTCAGGCATGGAAAAATAAATATGAACACCCTGAGATCAAACAAACATCATGTTTTTTATCAGTTTCATGAGAAATGAGGAAAGACAATAATCCTAGAAAAAGATATTTTGACCACAGCAATGAAGATTACACTTATCTGAAATGGATGTAAATATCTTGTGGTTCTAATCAGTTACTTTTCCAATATAGATGTTTTCAGAAAAGTATGGGTGTGTCCAATAAATTGATTTTCTAGTTATTCCAGGGTTTATAGAAGAGATAAATATTCTCCTAGCTATTATACTCACTTATTTTGTCTGGCATCCACAGTGTGATTAGAAAAGGCTTATTTGCTTTAGCAGGTGCATGGTATTTTGCAAGGATTAGTTCTTTTCCAGGTGAATGTGTTGAATGCAAAAACAAGCATTCACATCTTTGATTGTTTATCAGTGTTAAACAGGAGATTTTTATTGTTTAGGGAGTCATAACCTTCTCTTTAAATTGGCAGGAAAAACAAATTTGATTAAAGGGACCATCTGTGATTTCCTGTACTTGTATCAACCCAGAAGGTTTCCTGAGAAGTGGGTATGTCTCCTGTCTGGTTTGTGTTTTCTTCAACCATCATTTATCGCCCAGATGAGGGTATGGTGTAAAAACCAGAATTGTGCAGGTAGCAGCAACACCACAGCAGCCCTGCACACCACTTCTTTCTCATATTCACTGAGTAAGAGCAAACTTTGAGGCTAAACCATGTGCAATACATACATAGAGTCTTCTACAGCCAAAGCCATGACTGCTCTGCATTTATACGTATTCTAAATGAAGGAAACGCAGTTGCAGCTTTTATCTTAAAGCCATGCTATGACCTAATTTGATGTCTTGCTCTGACAGAAAAATGTTTTATTTGGTGGAAACACTGGCTTCAGACCTACAGTATGTGTATCTGCTTGCAAAGTAGCTTTATTCTTAAACTGAACTCTAAGGAATATTTTCTTGTTTGATTTATGCCACAAATGGGATAGTGGAGACTTGACTCAGACTTCTAAAGGAGAAAATGTTAGAATATTAATGTGCAACTGTTCTTAGTTAAAATATCCAGCACCTACAAATTAATTTAAAATTTCTTGACGTAGAAATCCTTCATCTATTTCTAATACCAAAGATACTAAGATTTAATAACCCAACAGCACATTCATTGAATCAAAGATTAATAATATTTTAACATGAAAGACTTTGGACTAGAACCAAAGAACATTAGTCACTTTGAAAACTTAATGTCAACTTATGACCAGGTAATTTAAATTTGCATAAGTATAAATTATGTATGTGCTTATATATATTTCTATTAAGAAGCATAATTTATGTTCTGTCACTGATAAGAAGCAGATTTTCTGAGAGCATACTTACCAGTAGTTCTCTGAGTAAATACATCAACATTTCAAATTACTTATAAAACAAGAAATCTCAATCTCAGATGCATTCTAATACGTTCTCATATACGTCTCCAAAACAGATTAAAATTTTCTGAGTCGATTAATAACACAACATTGTGACAAAAAAGCATTTTTGAGCTGATGTGTGTGGGAAAGCTGATTTCACCTTCTGGTGCTAAAACTTACCCACCCTGGCGTGAGTTAGCAGTGACCTCGGTGGGTGTCTGGGGCTGGTAAGTGCATCTGCCTTCCTTCGCTCAGCTTTCCCTCTCGAGCTCTGAGACACTGCAGCAGTTTTTGGCAGTATTCAGAATGCTGACACAATGCTGGGGGAAGCTGTAGTACAAGAGTAAGAAAAGATGTGCTGGCGCTATACCAGGGAAGGTGGTAGCTATTAGTGGATTTCCATGAGAGTTAATGCTGTCAAGTTAAGCATGTGGTTATGCAGACTTTTTTTCCTCAGTAGAGTTTTTTTGGCATGATCATCTGGCTCATAAACTGGAACACTGGAACTAGCTAAGGAGTGCAGATAGAGAGCTAAGGAGCTACCTGGGGCACCCCTGAGAGGCTCAGGAACTGTGTTGGGAGGGCTGATGGTACTGCTGCCCTCGGGAAGGACTTGGCTTCATGTTCTGGGCAGCACAAAGTGTTGTCATCACACAAATTGCCTGGGTTAAAAATCCGCCTAATTGAAAATCTTTCCCACTGACATTTCTTCCTTATGTTTGCTTGTATAAAACAGCCAGAGAGAACCCTCTGCAGGCTCATAACTCTGCACTTATCAGCTTGACATGGGACTGACACTACAGGCACTCTTCCTACGGAGGAAGTCAGCTGCAGACAACACCATTTGTTGCAAAGCAACACTTTAGTGAGAGTCATTCTTCTGAATAAAAAGGAAAGTCTATACTTTTCAGCCACCCAGGTAAACAACTGACTATAGAAATGAGGCATCATAATTCAAAGGTTGCTAATGCTTTCCAAGCTGTTATGACATTACCTGTCAAATATAAAAGCAAAAAGAACTTTATAAGAGAAATACCTGCTAATGGATATAAAGTGTAGAAGGATCTTTTTCTATATTTAATGATGTTTTAAGTAATTTTAGAGACCACTTGTACAGTTACAAACTTATGGGTAAATCCTATAGAAAACCAATTCATGGTGCCTAAAACAGAGAAGTTTTTTGGAATCCAACTCATAAGGGTCAGGAGATAATGTGAGATAATAAAGCAGGTCATACAGTGCATGAATGGCAGGGAAAACTCCATGGATTCTTGCCTTATATGTCAAACATTACTGGTGTTTTCTTTATAATTTTAATTTTCCCCTCCTTCTTATCTTCTGCTTCATTTGTTTCTTCATTTTTTTAAAGTCCTATGGTGTCTGTTACTTGAAAGCTTTAGGTGTTAAATTATTAAATAATAAGTGACTATAACAGAAAATTCACACTAATTTTCTCAGGGAAATTGAAATTGCCTTTGAAATTGAAGTGACACATTTTGTAGGCAAGTTTTTTTCATCTGATACACATTCACACATATTCATTTTTGTGTATATGTAAACTAGTCACATTTTTTTTGTCTGCATAATCCCACCCCATACAAGCAACTTCATTTTCTGAATATTAATATAAATTGCATAATAACTTCATTCTCATTATGAGATGCTATTCTGCAGCATGAGCAGTATCCAAATGGTGGTTTGATTCATATTCTCATTTCTTAACCTCTTGGAGAGAAAAACATAAAACTTCCTAATGCTAAAAGGATTTTGTAACTTGCAGCTAAATGGCCACTGTAATTGAGTTTTTTTCCTCTTAAAAATGTAAGAAGCTCATAGGTCTTTGTGTAACTGAAGGTCAGCGTGACTGACTCATGGCTACAAGCTATTCTGTTATACACTGCCACCATGAAAAGACAAGTACCAATCTGTGCTTGCACTTTTTAAGGTGCATTTGTATTACGACGAACTTCATACTCAAGCTGAAACTAAAGCAAAGAGCAAATAGAGCATATGAGAGAAAGAGAGAGATAGATAAGCATGTGAAAGAGAAAGACAAACATGTGTTGTTGACGATGGTATCCTTCTTTTTAATAAGCAGTTTCTAAAATAATTCCTTGAGCTCTTTATGAATTTGAATGTGTTTGGGATCAGCAGGCATAGGCTGCTTTGCAAGGGGGGACAAGTTGGGAGTCGAAAGTGACAGGCAGATAGATTGTCCTGCTTGAAATCGATCTATTTTTAATAATTCTTCATAGTAGTAATGAATAAGTGACCTAACTGCAGGGGAGTTGTGAAGATTGTAGGAGAGAGATGCACATAGAATATTTTCTTGTGCAGTATGTTTTCTGTTTTAGCCTTTTGCTTTTGGTGATAGCAGTTCATGCTACTAACACAAACAAGTTCCAGCAAGGCTTGTCACTGCAGAAATCACACACACCTGAAATTAGATGTTATTTCTGTTTGGGCATGTCATCTTTTACTTAAAAGGACACCCCATCAACCATAAATCATAGATTGGTTTGGGTTGGAAGGGATCTTAAAGATCATCTAGTTCTATTATCCCTGCCATGGCATCCCTTCTGCTAGACCAGCTTACACAGAAATTAAAAACACATTGTTTGTGGGTTTTGTGTGTGTTCTTTTCTTTTTATTTTTCATATAACATTTAGCAGCATTTGGGAGAACTAGAGAACTTCATTTTAATCATTAAGATCCTGCTTATTATCTGTTATTATATTACTGCAATTTTAATCATATTTGCTTGAAGGAATAAGGCTATTCTTATATCATAGTTTGTTTCAATGTGCCAAAATGTGCTTGATGGACAAAATCTGGTGGTTGAAAACTTCCTTTAAGTACCTATATATGCAAATGAAGTAATTAATATGAGATTAAATATTCATGAATCTTTTTGTCTAGCTCTAGTGGACTAAAGGAAGATGAATGACTAAATATCTAATTATTAAAATGAAACCGCTTCCTTTCAAAGCTTATTTATTTTTTACCAATCACATGATTTTCCAAATGTTTCATGGTGTGATTTGTTTGGGTTTTTTTTTAAATGATGGTTGGTATTTTCCCCTCCCGTCTTCACTCTTCCACCCCTTTTCTTGCCTTTCCCAGCCCTCAGCTCGGGAGAGTGAGAGACCAGATACGCAACCAGTTTTGTATACCAAACTAGGTGATTTTTAGCTAACTTTTTGGACATATTTAATAAGATAATGTGGACATTTTTTTTCCTGTGATTTTTATGATATGGATAAGGGTTTATTTTAATTTGCATCTCCTTAAAATACTAATTTTGAATGAAAATTAGTTTATAGACAACCAAGGGGCAGCTTCCTCAGGGTGGGCATATGCCAATTACAAATTGGAGCAGTGCAAACATGTAGGTAAAGTGCTGAAAATCTTGGCTTTGCTTCCTGGGACACTCCTAGAGACTGTCAGAAACTGCCTTCTATCTATCAGCCTGCTCTGTATACATCATATATTGGCATGTGTGCTTCTTTATAAAAAGTGGCATATATATATAGATGGTTGTTATGGTGTTGTTTGTCAGCAATCTTAAGGCCCTCCAGAGACAGTGATAAGTGTGATAGCTCTGATAAAGATAGGCTTTCAAATTACATAAAAACAAAATAATAGCAAAACCACCAAAACCCCAGGACAAAAATACCCCAAAAAACCAAAACAGCGGCCCCATGCCCAAGCAGTAAAAATAGTGTTTCTTTTAAAACCCTTCAGAGTAACAGATCATACATATATACCACTTATCTTTCAAAAGGAGTGGCAGAGGAATGACTCCTAAAAAAAATGCCTAAAGGAAAAAAAAGTCTTTTTGTTTCAAACTAGAAAATAGTACTTACAAAATTCAGTGGATCTGTCTATTCCCTAGTCAATAGTTGCCAGCAGAACCACATGCCCTGTAAGTAAATCAGGTTCAAGAATTCTCTCCAGCTAAGCACAGCAAATTCCCCTGTAAATATGGATTTCCTAGCAAATATTTTCTCTTAGTGGTAATATTGTTCTCATATGGGACGTCAGCTTTAGCATTCCTCTAGAGTGCAGCATTTTTCACCAGTATTATACTGGTGTAATATAAAAATAAGTATTAGTGCTGCACGTTAAATTCATAACTTTTCTACTACAGCACCAGAATATTTTAGGGACTAGACTGGTAAAATAAGCATCCTAGCTATACCCATTGGGAGATTTCCCTTAATAACAATATTTTGCCTTCTGGAAATCTTCTTATGCTGTGTAAACTTGTGCATTTCTCTAAGTGGTTTCTTACTTTTCCCTTCCTTTTAATTTTTTTAAATTTCTTTTTTTCCCCAGTCACTCTACAGAGTTATAGAATGTCATGGAATGATAAAATAGTTTGAGTTGGAAGGGGCCTTTGAAAGTTACCAAGTCCAAACCCCCTGCCTTGAGCAGGGATATCATCATATCCAGTTGCTCAGAACCCCATTCAACCTTGAGCATTCCCAGGAATGGAGCATCCACCAACTCACTGTGTAACCTGTGCTAGTGTTTCATCAGTTATTGCAAAAAACTTCTTCTTTAGAGCTGATCAAATCTATCCCCTTTATTTTAAAACCATTACTCCTTGCTCTGTTGCAACAGGCCCTGCTGAATGTTGCCTCCATTTTTCTTTTATGTCACCTTTAGGTACTGTAAGGCTGCCATGAACCTTCTTTTCACCAGGTTCACAACTGAAGTTCTCCCAGCCCAGTTTCACAGGAGAGGTGTTCCAGCCTTCTGAGCACCTTCCTCTGGACATGCTCCAACAGATCTGTGTCTTTTGTCTACATTCCTACCTATTGGTCGACTGCCATATAAGAAACCATTTTTTATGGACCAACATTAACTCTATTGACTAACCTAAGAGGTTATTTCTGAGCAGTCAAAAGATTGTTTATTGCCCTCTTTGGTTAACAAAGAGTAGTAGGAAGTTTAGTTTTAAATACCTTTTTTTTTTTTAAAGCCTAGGCAGAGAAGCAGAATGAACAATGACTTGCCAAATTTTTCCTGAGTTATTACCAAGTGTGAACACCTTGATTTCACATCAGAATATATTTCTACTTTAAAATACAGTATTTATCTACTGCAATATTTACATCATCTTATTAAACTCCTTGGATAAGCCTTTGGGGTGGTGGTACTAATTTAAAATATAGGGACTAAACTCAGGTTGCAAATAGACAGTTTTTTCCCACCTTGGTTTTGGGGTATTCATGCTAGCTTTCACTAGCATGAAATTCTGATGAGACTCTACCACTTTTTGTTTTGTTTTTCTCCCTCCTACAGTCCCTCCCTATTCTCTATATTCATGTTTTATTATCTGAAACCTGCTTTACACTTCTGTCAAATCCCTGAGCATGAAGCTCATAAATACTGGCACCTTCTTGTGACAGAAAGAGCACTCAGAGTTGCAGCTCGGCGATCTTTTAGAGATTTAAAAGTGAAGCTCTCTTCCATTTACAAACATGCCAACAGGTGTCTCTCAGATATTCTTTGATGTATTTTTTTATAAAAAAAAATGTAAAGGGTAGTAAGCATTTTAGCATAAGTGACTAATATTTCGTTTTCTCTATCCAAAACATAATGAAAGAGTGTTGCATTCATATAAACCATTTCAAGGCATGGAATTCCCAAAGAACCTTAGTCTGCAACCAGAAGTACATTGAAAGAGATTTATTTCTGGACTGCAGTGCCCTCTGCCAGCAGAAACTCCAGCAGAGGAACTGAACAGGTAATGAAGACTATCCATCCACCTAGAGCTTCAAAGCAAGGCAGGTACACAAATAGATTTTGATTGAGGCCACCTGGGCACAGTAACTCTACAGTTTTGAGAGAGTAATGATCAGTGATAAAACAAATTACATTTTGTGGCCCAAATAATTATCCTCAAATACAATTTTAATTGAAGTTTAGATTTCAACTTAGTGTTTCCTTGGAGATGTTATAGGCTTCCTATGTAAGGTCAAAACACTTTAGTATGTAGAAAATAATTTGTCTGATTGCTTCAATTGGATGTAGACATTTTGCTAATTTTGTGTTCCTGGAAAGGATGAAAAGACAGTAATTAAAGAGAAAAAGAAGCTCTTGATTGCCTCTCAAAGCATTAAGAGGACTGTATGCCTCTTGTAAGCATTTAAAGGCTAACTGTTAGTGTATAAAAGGATAAATCATTTTTAATTAGTTTTTTTGATGGAATCAAGTTTTTTTAAATTGAATATTAGAAATTAATTGTGTATGGTAATGATTAATTGCAAGTCAGCTCTAGATGGGTGCTTCTGGAGAGGCTCCCTGAACAAAGAAACTTCTGGGTCTTTATACACTCTTGGTATGTGCACCCAATCATCATCTGCCCTGCATGTGCCTCTTGGTATAATGATAATTTGTGGTCTAGGGTCTTATAACACCTCTTTGGATTCTTCCTTCATGTACACATGGACAGGGCATTAATTGTTCTTATCTTCCCACCTGGGCCAGCCTTGGCCCAGCCCTTTTCTGAAGATAACCTGTCTCTGTTTATTCCTCAGCTCAGCCATTTGTGCTAGCAGAGTTCATTTCAAGTTCACCTACAACTTTGAGAAGGGCCCATTAATGCTAAGCTGTAAGCAAGTTACTATTGCACTTAAACCTACTCAATTAATTTTAATGTTTTCTAAGTAAACAATTTCATTTCCAGTATTCAGGTGTTGATAACTTTCTATGAAACAGAATTTATGAAATTGGTGAATCCTTTTGAAATCTCCTAGGTTTGGAAATCAGATTAGAGATATTTATACATCTCTCAAAGACCAAATTTATATACTAACTATATAAATAAAAATAAGTTGATGTATTTTAATCAAAATTCCAATCTTAATAATACCAGACAGATCTGAAATATTTCAAAATGGGACCTAAATTGTATGGAAAGATATTTTATTCAAATGCTATGCATAGGATTAACCTATTATTCCTCATAAATTCTGGTGATATGATATCAGTGTGAAAGGAGTCATATCAGGCTTCATTTTGTTTTTTAAAATATTAATATACTAATTTTTAGGAGAAAAAACATAATCAATTTCACTTGAAAACCCCCAATACTTGCAGGAGATTCTCACTATTTTTAATATGATTTTATTTAATCTCACACATAAGAATACTTCTGCCTTAACTGGCATCTTTAAAATTAATGAATAGGCAGAAATTTTCTCTCCAAACATAAGGGACTTTCATGATTGCTGAGAAATGTCCCATGATTCTTGGTACCAAAATATTATGAAAGACGTGGTTGATATGCTTCAGATAATTACAAAAATTGCTCATTTAATGGGAATGAAAAATCTATAGAGGGTTATTTCTTCAAGCAATCTTGGAATTTAAATGTGATTTGAGTCATTTGGTCATGGCCACTGATCCTTGCTTTAAAATTGGATTTTTATCCTCCTATTTGATTATTTTATTTCCCCATTGGAGAATTACTGTCTCAGTCTTTCCTTATAATTCAACTTGATATCATATCATAGACTAATCATATGTACATGTTGTATGAACATGGTTACAGAAATTGTATATGGATAATTTCCAAAAGTTGAACTCTGAAATTTGTGCAAATTGAAAATAAATGATGCCATCATATATTTATGACATAATGGGGAATGCAGTAATTTCAAGTAAGAAGAGTGAGAACTAGGGTAGAAAAGATCCCCTTTTTCTTGCTCTGTAAAGGCAATTAATGATTTGTGGCATTGGCCTAGCAGTGACTGCCTAGCAAAAATAAAGTGCAAGATGACTTTTTTCCTGGAATGGAAAGACGTTGCATTTATTGCAACAGGTTTCAATCAATTTGCAAAATCAAAAATATATTCTGATCAGTAGATTTTAAAATTGATAAAGACACAGCGTGATGTTTACTTGATTTGGTTCATCATTATTCAGATGAAGTAAACTGTTTGTAGACTTTTATAGAGGAACTGCTAAAAGTTCACAGTTACATTCTAAATCTGGAATTTAATGCAATTACATTTTTTTTTCATTAAATATCAGGTATAACATCTCTCCATTAGTTGGCTCAAACTGCTTTATTTGTTCAAAATACCAGAGTACAGACTTCCAGTTTTCATTAAGTGGTTTACTAATTCCTGCTGACACCTTTTCCTGTTTACTAAATGACTTTTCTATCTCTTCCTTTACATGGAACTGTTCCTTCTAACTGATTTATATACAAAAATGTAAGGTATAATGCAGATGTGTTTTTGACAAGCTAACCAAATGGGAAAGCTAAGAAAATTTCTCCAGATGTACCTTAATGAAATAGGAATTAGACAAATTTCTCTTACCTCTCTCCCCATTAGGGGGAACCTTTCATGAATTTTTTGAGGAAGACCTGTCAGGAAACAGGAGATATGGCCTTTTCTAATGACTATATCAAATGTCCAAAAATCTCTACAATGAAAGTGTTTTCTGAATAGTCACTGACAGAAAACATTAACTGAATGTTCTATACCAGCTGATGTAAAGATCAGCCTTGATGAAAGGAAGATAAAATATTGTGTTATTACTGTGTTATTTGTAGAATTTTCACTGATACATAAAGGAAATGCATAACAACCAGAGTAAGAACTTTTTTTCCTCTTAGCATAGGAGAAAATAAACTTTTGTACGAATAAAAATAAAATAAGCTGTTCTGCTGATGTCTTCTTGATTCAACGGTGAGTTTACTGTCCTTCTGAGTCATCTGTCTTGCAAATGGAAAGAGCCAGAGTAAGCCAGAATAAACTTTCTTTGTTTTATTTAATTGTCTCTGCAAGTACCAAAACTATTTACCAAGCAGATCTGGTAGATGCAAACACAGAAACCATTCTAATCAAACCAACAAAAGTACAAACAAGAGACGAAAAAAGGAAAAATACTAATTGCAACAGGTAGAAGTGCCTATAAAGAATATTTTAGTTCCATAGGCTAGAGGAAGATTTCTTATCTCCCTGAGCAGTATGTTACATTTTGCTCCTGAAGCTGCCAGCCCTGCAGTTCCCAACTGCTGCTACAAAACATCAAATTCCTTTGTGCCTGATGCCACCTCATACTGTAGTACAGCAGGCCCACGCTGCATCTTCATAGTACAAAATCAGGAAAATCAATCTCAATTCCCAAATAACCAAAGTTACTTGATGGAAAATGATGTGTTGCCTCATCCTCTGCTGGAATATTGACAGGACCCGGGCAACAAAAATTAAACAGATATTTGCAATATGACCATGTACTCCCATGTCATTGACCCAGTTTCTCCTGGCGACAGTGCCTGGATATAATATATCTGCCTCTCACAGCCTAAGTTAAACTTCCCTAAAGGCAGTGGAATTTTAAGCTGTATTGTTATATGTATTTAACTGAGCTAGACCAGCTGCTGCATTGGGATGCTGGGGGAGAGCAGAGGTGTTTACATTAATACCTTTGTGAAGGTATTAATTATTAAAGGTAAACTGCCATTTACTCCATTTAGATGCTTCCAATGGGACAGATCATTTCACTGGTTTTTTTGAAGCTGCAAAAATACCTTTCAACAACCTTCAGGTTTCTTACTGGGTTAGGTTAAGCAGATTAGCTTGAGATACTTTGGCTGACAAAAACCAGTGAAAACTTCACTAGAGGAAAATGAAAATCTATAAATGCTGGTTCACCAAGGCTGAAATGGTTTACAGCAAAATTTCAATTTGATAAAGGATTTTTGAAATACAGTCAGTTCTGAGGGCAGCCTGTCTCTTTTGAAGTCTTTTGTTTAGCTGCCTTTCCTTCTTGTTCTCCTCTCTGCTTTGAGGACTGCACAAGAACCCCAGAGTGAATAGGTTTACCAGAAGGGTTGAGGATTTCCCTTGAAATGTCAGGATGGTTGCTGTACGTGCCTATTTTAGTTCTGGGAACATGATATCCCAGATCTCAACCCCTTTAGCCTCTTGCTGTTTAGACAGATCTGTAAAGTATATTCTTTCAAACTATCCTGCTTTTAAAAGTGGCAGTTCCTTCTGCCCCTAGGCACCTTTCTGTGAGGAGCTGAGATTGTAATCCCAGGGTAACATAACAACTCTTTTCAATTTATATGTGAAATATTCACTGCCAGGACGAATGAGGTGGTGACAGGGCAAAGGGGCTGGTTCGTGGGCTCTTTTCTGCTCAATTTTCTCTGTCTCCTTACATTTATCAAATTATCTTTTCTTTTAGTATCAGAAATTCTCTACCAAGGGTGTGGTGAGGCACTGGAACAGGTTGCCCAGAGAGGTGGTAAATGCATCATCACTGAAGCTCAGGTTGGATGGGACACTGAGCAACCTGGTCTAGTGAAAGGTGTCCCTGATCATGGCAGGGGGGTGGGGCTAGATGAACTTGAAAGGTTCCTTTCAAATAAAAATAGTCTAGGATTCTATATTTATTTTAAACAATTTTAAAAATTTCTTTATAGACATAACATCATTAAATACATATTTTACCTCACAGTAAACTGCTTTGAGGAACATTTGTGACCTTTCCCAGTCTCTGGAGATAATCATGCTTATAATGACTTCTGTTAACTTTCCTTCTAGGTCTGATTTTTTGATCAAAAAGAACTTACTCCTTTTCTCTATGTTTTTTGTTTACAATGTTTATATTTTTCAGACTTGTCTGGAGTCTCTGACCATGGTCATCTTCCACAGTCATTACTTTTTAATGACATAGTATTGTTTGATTAGAGAGGAAAGAAATAAAAGGAAAAAAATTAGTATGTTTATGGTGAGATATTTGACAACAAAACAGTATAGTCAAATACAGGTAAAAATATATTTTTCCTAGAATTGTTGGGCATACATAGACATTTCGTTTTCCTTTTGTCCTTACCCTCACCTCTGCCCCATGCATATTCCTTCTATTTGGTATAGAAGGCTATCAGCATATAGTTTTCCTTTATTAAATTATGGGAAATCACTTTATTTTAGAGATTAATTATTTCCACATAGCATATATTTTCCTACAATAGCCAAGATGTTTATTTGATTTGTGCCTGCCTCCTGTGCCATTCCCAGAAGAAGGTGTTTATGCAGATCCCTGTTTAGATTTTCTTGTAGTCTTACATTGGAGGAAATACTTAATAATCTACTTTGGGAACGAGTCTGAGAAAGTCCCAGAAAAGTGTGGGGACTTGCCTCCTCATGCATTCAAGCTAGAGCAGAAGGCAGAAAGGGGAAAGAAAGTGTCTGCTGAGCAGTAAATAGATAATGTACCTCTGTGGGACTGCAGGGGCAATTTTCATAGCCAGCTCTGCAGGTTCCATTGGACCTACTTGTGGCATGTTTTCCATGTTTGTCTCTCGCTGAGATAGAAGCTTAGAAATTTATTAATGTTGCCTTGGACATATGCTTTTTGTCTTAGAGTGGGGAAATGTTGTAGCCCCACAGAGCTCCAGGACCTCTGGTACTGAACAGCCCTGGCAGCTGTGTCTGGTTCACTTCCTTCAGGTTCTCTTAAAAACTTGTGTGTGGCAAACAACCCAGCCTTTTCCAGCTGCTGGAAGTCTCCTGGGACTGTCAGGGGCAAGAAGTCGATCTCCAGCACAGGATAAAGAAAATTCTAAGAAAACTAATCTACACACATTTACGTTATGCCCTGAATTTTCACATTCTATTCCCTTTTCTGTACAAATTTTAGATCCTTGACACAAACAAAGAAGGCAATTTTAAATATTATACAATTGAGTATAAATTCACATTCTTCTGCTGCTTTCTCTTGGCTGCCAAAAGCTAGGAGCTGAATAGCAAGGCTCAGAAGCATCTCCAGAAACAAATTAACCTCCTCTGCCAAATATATCTATCTCTCACAGATGTGGTTTAAAAACAGGAGGAATAAGTCTATGTATATTTTCTCTTGCCCATGACATATTATCAAAATAATTATATTCTTGGCTTTTGGGATAAAGTTAAAAAGAATTAGAGAGTAAGATGTCTTAAAGCAGGAAGGGACTAGTATTTTCTTCAGCTCACAGTTGAATCTTCCCCAACAAGTCTAGGTATCTTCTATTCAAGACAGGTACTTCTGTCTGCTATGAGGAAACTGAAACAGTTTATAGGTGTCTTTCTGCCTCCATTATGTCTCATAAGCAGCTCCTTATGCTGGTGCTGAATGCAATTTGGCCAGTTTTTGGATATTATTTACACTTTTTGGATATTCTTCTTTATTGAGGACCTTCTTATTTTAAAACAGTTTTCATGCTCTGTACAGGTAGTTTTGAACCCTTGAATTCACTTTTTTTTCTTTTTTTGTTTTCTACTTTTTATTATTTTTTTAAAGCAGATGTACGTCCCAGGTTTATCATAGCTGCCTTACAGAAATAATTGTTTTTTGCCAATTTCTCTTATGAGCTCTTGGAACCTGCGTGGACTGCCAAGGTTTCCCTGGGGTAATGAACACTCAACATTTAAATTAAATGTTGATTGCTGCCTTGACTTTTTAGATTGTCAAAGGAGCTGTGTTCAAAAACTACAGAAATCAGGAGCCAGTAATTTAAAACAATTATTTGCCAAGTGTAATTTGTCATTGCTTTTACATTTGAGTTTATTGAGAGACAACATGCAATGTAAGTACAAAGCTGTACCAATGAATTATCTTAATAATGGTGTTTTGGGCTGAGTAACAGCGTAAGGATTTAAGATGAGAAAGAAAAACAGAGCATTGGAAATGTTCCTTGAATCTCTGTGATGAGCAGCTTAACCTTGCTTTTCATTCTTTCATAGAATATCTCAAAGTATAGACGGTAGGAGGTTGATTTTATTTGTGTCTAACCTCAAATTTCCTATGTCTTGGTGTATCTAAGGGAATAATCTACAGTTATAATCTATAGAATTTTAAAGGCAGGAAGAATTTCAGAACATAAAATGAATAGGTGAAAATTTTTACTTTTACATCTTACAGGAGGATTAGATTAATTTCTCTGACTACTACATGAACAGTGCACTTGTAGAGATTTTCTGTACTGGGATGGATATCATTGCATATTTAAGGATTGGTCAAGCACAGGGATCTCAAAGAGAATTGCTGCATAGAAGGAGACACAGCAAAGTTGTTGAGTTCAGGTATGCAAGCTGTCTTTAGGTTTGCAAGAATTTTTTTCAGCAAGTTTTTAGAATGTATTTCTTAGTGGATGAATTTCAAGGTGAACTGAAAAAACTGTGAAATAGAACATAGAAATTGTCATTGTCTTTTTTTTTCTCAAGTGCTTTTCCACTGATGCATTTTTAATACTACTTTCAGAGTGGGAAAACACATTATATGAATGTGTTGTTACCTTCAAGAAACTGTAAAATAATGAGACAAACTGTTTATTAATGACAGACTAATGGCATGACTTATGACATTTTCCATCATTGCATCAGATAGAAATTGAGTTTTCAATGACAACAACTAGCCTAGAAGAGTTATTATATTTTTCTTTCTTCCTCCTCTGCTGAAAGGAAGGTGTTAGGTCATTAATTATATGGATGTTTTGTGTAAAAGGCTTAAAAATGAAAAATGGAAACAGAAGTCCTATTTTCTGGATGCTCACTCCAGTGTCTCTACTCCTTTAGTTTTTGCCTTTTTTTTTTTCAAAGAAGAAACCACATAGCTGCCAGGACTTGCTGACTGAAAAATAAATAAATAAATTAACTGTTGCCACTCTATGAATATGCTAAGTCTAGGTGTTTTTATTGTTTTCTATCCCCTGCTGGCATGTTGCTTGGTGTTTTATTTTTTCTTGCAGAACCTTTTAAATGAATTTCAGGGGTTTTTCTTATTTTTTGTTTTCCTTTTTATGAGCTATACTCTCTTATAAGAGGTTTAACAGGAGCTCAAGTTCATATTTCATATTTCAATAAATCTATCATTAATAGAAAAATAATTGCTAAGGCAGAAGTGACCAAAAGTTACTTCATATACATTTTAGCATCTATGTCTTGTAATTTGTGCAGGAGTAGTTAGAAAAGCTTTCAACTATTGATCATAATGAGGAGCTGCTAGCATAATCCTAAATCTAATTAGAGGTGAAAGGTTGCATGTAAATAATTGTCTGGATCATCACTGTCCAGGCATGATTGTCTCTGAAGCAGTTACCTTCAGCACACCTGCTCCACTGAACTGGAAGGCTTGTTTCTCACTGGTGAACTGCCCCTCCAGTCACTGAGGTCTGGTTTTACAACAGGTAATTGACAGGAGGGATGCAAAGGTTTGAAGGTGGTCACTCTCATGGTTGAGCCTGATCTTCCCCAGGTATCATTCAAGAGGCAGGGCTACAGCATGAGCACTCCCTGTTGAGCTGAGATAATATTTTGTTTAAAGAATTTACTCTGTCTGAAGAATAGGGGGGCAGTCAAGCCTGAATATTTTTACAAGAAATATCAATTAGGCCTGAGCTTTTCTGGAAGCAGTGTTTAACTTCCAAGTGATGTGTGCATGCACCCTATCCAGACACAACACACTATTATTTTCATGATAATTTGCAAATGGCATGACGAATCCAAACACAGTGCAAAATTGCACATAAAAATTGGGAATTAAGTGAGTTTTTTCTAAATATATCTTACCCCTAGTTTCTCCTCTAGTATGTTTGGGGTTTTTACCTTTTTGGACAATTAAGTATTGCAAAGTGACAGTTGATAGCTAATTTGTAAGGAAGTGTAAGTGCAGCTCTATGACTGTATTTCTTTGTGATAGTATGTATATAATTTTTGACAGTCTTTCAAAAGTGTATTTGCAGGAAGTCCTTGAAAGAGCTGCTTCCCTTCAAGCATCCTTGTCTGAGGCACTTCCAAGCATCTTCAGACTCATTCAAAACACTGTTAAGTTTTCTCCAGTCTGGGCTAAAACTTCAAAGGGAAGTGTGTCAAAAGGCGCTCCCACCAGAATCTCTGCTTTGTATTCTCTGCTGAATGAAAGGATTTAAAATGATTTTGTTTACTAAATATAAGCTGCAGACTATTTTTCTGACCTAGTTATCTACCAGTCATAGTGGAAATATAATTAACACAGGCACAAATTATGATTGCTGATTCTTTTGGCAGTAAAAGATTACTCATAATGCACATTTATTGTGCTTGCTATTACTAACCATATTGATTCCCAGCATGCTTAAGGAATACAGCAACAGGCAATACTGTGTGAGATGCCATGCAAAAAATCATTGCAGAGACCCAAACAGTGCTACAAATGTGTTGCCATTAAACAAGCCTGTGGTTATTTATGACAAAAATGACACTGTGGCTCATCTTTCTTGGTGGCAGCACTAGCAATAGTATTTGTGCAATTTTTCTGGAGAAGCTGCTCTTGTTTGTCATTAATACTTCTCCTGCATCTTCACTTATAGTGTGACAACAACATTGGCAATTTTGGTAATTTTCCCAGATTGGCAGTGGGGGTTACACAGGGTTTATCCACACTTTTTTCTTCACCTTTTCTTTCACATTCATGTGAGAGCTTGCAAGTTCAACAGAATATTTTAAAAACAAATATGGAGACATATTTTTTGACTAATTTGAATCAAACTGGCTTGTGAACATAGCTTAAGCAAATGATTAACCAGGCAAAAACATTGCAGAATGTTAGCAGGGGTTGCCTGTCTATAAGCATATTTAATCATTTAGGTCATTCTACACTTTGCTTCTCTTCATATCCCATGTACTTCTCTATCATCCCTTAACTTGCAAAAGAAATGGCCAAAAACACTTATTCAAAGTTATTCTCTTTGATTTGTTTTTCAATTTACATTTGTTCCAGAAAGTGGATGTATTCAGATTGATTGTCTGTAACAATAGTTACTGAATTAACTTTGTTATTAAAGTTCTTTCCCAATTTTTTTTTCTAATTGTAGACCACACGTACTAGAGAAAAATTTTTAGTTTAAGTTTGCAGTGTTATTTTGAAAGGTCAGAAATGCAGACTCTGAAACTCAATACAGACACTGTAAAACAAGCTCTGAACTGAGGTAAGTCTTCGTTCAGAGAGCTAGAGAACAGCCTATGCCTGTGAACTCTGAGGGCACACGTGTACTGAATTTTCTGTTTCTTGAGATTTTTTGAAATGTGTGTTTGCCACATAAAAGGAATTGCTATAGAGCTGCCAACTCTCCTTTCAGCAGTGGAGAGCAGACCCTCATTACTGATGTGAAGGACAATGAAGGGCATAAAGATCTTCTGAATGTTCACTTGGTAACTCTTATTAGAGGACCAGGCTCTTCCCAAAGAGGGAACCTCCTCCTCAGCCTGTTTATATTACTCTGGATGAAATAACACACATTTACTCAAGTTCTGTTACTGGAATGTGCATGTACTACCTAATAAGAAAGTTTCTTTTTTGTTTTTTAATTGATACATATTACTGAAAATAGTTTAATACTTTTTACTGAGTGTTCACTTTTACTCATTGATGTATAGACTTGATCTAAGGTTATGACATCCGGTATTCAAAAATGATAATGAATGCTTTCATCATCTGTAATGATGGTAAACGAACCATCATTATGATGATAAAGGTAATGAACTTCTGAATCATACTAAGCTGAAGGTAAGAATTGATCCTGTTCATGTAAAAGTTTATTGTTTAAATTATGCCTTATATGAGTATTAGCAAGAAGATCAACAATAGAAGTCAGGCTGTTATGAGAGAAGAAGCTATAGCTTATTCCTTTTTAAACTTTATTTTTTCCTCTGAAAGCTAGATATATTATTTATATATATATACACAGTTACAGAATGTATAAACTACAGAAAGAATTAAGAACATGTATTTCATGATCAAGTTACTTTATTTCTAATATATTGATTTTCTTGAAATGATAGGTTAAGAAAATTGATTGTAGCAATGACTCTTAAACAGCTTCAAATCCATCTGCCCCGTGTTATGTCTGGATATTTCTTTTCAATTTCCACTCTGAATGAAACCCTGGAGACAGATGTAATGCTTCCAGGACTTGAAATTATGTTAATAGGAAAGAGTTGCTGACATGCCTGAAGTATATTCCACCTTAATAATATACATTTATTAGGAAGATAATAATGTTCCAATTTGTCTAGGACATAAAATAAAATATAGAAGCAATTGAGATATATACATCTATAAAGTTCTTCTGAGCCTCTTGTTCATCATTATATGTTGTACTGATCTATAGCTGAAAATTTGTAATAATAGTGTTGTCTAGTACAAATGGAGATAATGTATTTCTTAGTATTATAGACCCTGACTGTGAAAAGGCAGCAGAGTCTCACAAATTTATTGTCTAGCCATGCAGTAATGACAGCAAAATATTCAGAGGCATTTGTTATAAAGAATTAAAGAATTATTCAGAGACATCTGTTATAAAGAGTTATAAATAATTATTAAAGAAATATCTGGACCTTGAGATAAAGGTAATTTTTTAGAGTGATTACTGAACCAAAGCAGTAATTGTCAGCTGAGAATAGGCTATTCAGAGCTTTCTATCTTCTGAGTTATTTTCTTTTTCCTGTAATCTACCCTTTCTTCTACTGGGGATAATTTATTATGAAGAAAACTTAATAAATTTTTTAATTCATTTATCTGCATTTTATACTTGCATGGTCGTTTTCCTGATAATTTTGTATATGAATTACAGCTAGATTTTCACAGAAAACTTTGAAAACATTCTCAAGTATCTAGAGATATTTTAGATATTCTTGGATAGCTAAGTTAAGCCAAATCCAAACTCACTGACGGAAACTCCACTTTTATTTTTAACATTGTGTCTTATAAGAATTTGTGATTCTGGTTTGATTAAAACTATTGAAGCTTGTTTTTATTGCTGAAGCACCTTCTAGGATGTATTCAAGGTCTGAATGCACATATTGTTAGCAATTTCAAGTAAGATGGCCGTATTGAGGTCAACATGTCTCTTATGTCTCAGATGTGCAGTTTCTAAGAATTAGATGAGAATGACATCTTAGCAGAAAACTGGAAAATGTCATGATTTTGTTTTCAACAAGTTCCAGGTCATCTCATGGAGATCAAGCCTTTTTCTTTGGTCAAAATGACCTTCTCTTGATGGAAAAGTACAGTTTGTATTGATGGAAACATTTGTGTCAAGCAAAATATATTGTAAATTCATGTCAATGTTGCAATATTGTTTTGGCTGAAAAGAGATAAAAACATCCTCATGCACCCAATTTATATTTTAGAAACCTTTACGTGAAAATGTCGTAACACTTCAATTTGATTCTTTGCTCTGAAATATAATTTTCAATGCATTTTTTTTCCAAATTGAAACTGAATAGATTTTGTTTTTTAGGTTCCACTAGGAATTTTTTGATGACCTAGGCCAAAATGTAACTTTAATGAACTTCATTTGTTTAAATTATACTTATAAAGGACCAAAACAATCATTTTAGGTGTATTTGTTTGCATGTCAATATTTTGGTTTTTGCTTTCCACAGGAAACTGTTGCACTTCAGAAACATGTTATTTCTCTGATTCTGTTTTTTTATTGCTCATTTTCTTTCCACTAAGTCTGATTTTTATCAAGTTTATGCTTGGTCTCTTTTTTGTCCATTTGATATAAATTTTTTTCATCTGGAAATCGAAATAGTAGATCTGAACTAAGCTGTTACTTTCTTTCTTTTCAAAATTTACTTCCAATTATTGTTGCACAAATGCAAGAAGATTTCAATATTATTTATCTGTCTTATTTGTCACAGAAGCATATCTTAAATAAGTCCAGGCTATCAAATATTTTCTGGATACTGGAAGGAAAACTGCAGCCATTTGGCTGAGATTTCCTGAGGTGTTAAATAACACCTTGGACATCTTGGACTATATAGCCACGTGATATGCACAGATTAGTTTTATATACAAGAAAACAGACTGACGCAGCTATGATTGACTCTGCACATGTCAGCTGGTGTGTGCGTGTGTGGTAAGACAGAGACATAAAGAAGTTAGATTTCACTACGTGGGCGCAGTGAGTCATTGAACTAGCTCTTCACAGCTATAAATCAAAAAGCAAATAAGCATGCATGTTTTCATACATGCAGGAAAAGAAACAGAAGCGATAAAAATGTATGAATATTCAAATTTACTATATTTTTTATTTCTTTTATAGCATATCTTTATTTTATTTATACACAAAGTAAAGAGGTGTGCAAGATGGTACACATGTTTGTTGAGTCGTGGGCTTTGAGCAGGTAACACTTCAGTTTGAATAGATACAGAAACACTGTTTGCAAACCCTATGCACAGAACTCACAGGAGTCATAGGATCAGAATCACCCTGTGATTAGTAAAACAGCTAATGCCATTGGTTATCAGCTTGAGGTGATAGGAAGTAACCTGTACTTTCTTTGAAAATATAACAAGATCGCTAATTTCTTACATTTATTTTATTTTATGTTGCACATCTCATATGACTGCACTTGTGCTCCCTTCACAATGTATCAGTATTACCCACAAATTTATCGGACTAAGGAGTCTCATGCAAGTCTGGCTTTTCCAGTGCATGCTTTCTCATCAGTAATAATGGGAACCATTGCAGTGACATCTTAAGCTTGCAGCTCTCTGACAGCACACACAATGTTTTAGTGAAAACTGGAATAGAGAAAGATGCTAAGGAATCAAAAGACTTGCATCCACAAATACAGTACTCTGCAAAGTGGAACTACCATCAAAGGGAAAATGTTTTGCCTCTGGAGAGGAGTATTACACTAGAAACAAGAGAGATGTGTGGAAGAAGAGCAACTAAGTCAAAAACATTTCTTGATGGGTATGGACACAGAAACTAATCTCATGTAAAGCTCAAAGCTCAGGCTTAGTCTTGTTTACAAAATAATTGTAAGCCTGTTTTGTTTGCTTGAGAATATTCCTTTAGAATATTCAAAAGTCAAATATATTAGTGCATATAATGGCTGTGTTTTCAGTGTGTGCATGTGGGTGCAACTTTTTGAACTGTGTTTCCACAATGAAAGCTTTGAAACAACAGTAACTGCAGATAGCCAGCTATATTTGCTTAAATGAACTTCTGCTGTTATTACAGTATTTATAGAACTCTAAAGGGCTGCAGATGCAGTTTAGCAGATATTTGTTTACATTTTAAGGACATAATTGTGTGATGTCCACCAAGCTTGTATGCAGTCTATAATGGTAATTATCATGCTTGTACAAAAATACAAATTACATTCAAAAAAATGTATCCAGTGGGAAATTATTCCCTTCTACATTTTTAAAATGCATAGAAGAATAATACTCTTCTACACTATTACTGCTTGCACTGTTTTCAGTCTAGTTTCTCTTATTTCTCTTTGATTGCTGTTGATGTACTCTCACATTGTCCAGCAGATTAACTTTTTTCATCCAGTTTATGTAAGCAGCCATCTCAACTGGAACCACTGATGCAAGAGGCAGCCAAGTCACCTTAATCAATGTACCCATCTAGTACTACCAGAAGCCCATGAGATCTGTTGATAGAAATGATCTGTAGCTGCAGTACAGCTTCTGCAGTTCTATCATTTGCAGCTGTAAGGTGACACTGTATTGAATTTTTGAGCTCTAAGTGCTTTCATCCTTCTTCTTCACACAGGCAAGCTACAAAATGTTCATTGCTTTGCAACACTTCAGCATCTGTAAGTGAAAACACAGATGTATAGCAATTATTGTCGACTAGAATCTTTGCTGTGTCAGAAATCAGCTTGACTCACAGAAAGAGAACTTTCTGGTACCTTTCTGTCATTCTGAGCTTGACTGGTAAGGCAACTGATTGGGATTAATCTGCTCTACCCTGAACTACAATAGTGCTGGGACAGCTCCCCCACAGCTAACCTAGCTGTATCAAATGCCATTAGTTGGACGACAAAGTTTGTTTAGTTGGTGGCAGAAATCTGACTAGCCAAAGAGCCTTTGCTAAGAGCGTAATCTAAATGCAGAAAAACCACATTTTTGTTTTCCTGTGGCTGTGCTAGTCACTGTAGAATGTGTGTCACTCTACAATATTTAATAAAAATATATTTATACATTAAGTTTTGTAACTTAAAGCATTTACAGAATCATCTAACCTGATCCTTGCTCACTTCAAAAAAGCCTGGAATGCTAAGGACTGAATCATGCAAAGATTTTCCAGAGGTATCTGATTGATCTGAGCAGAATTTATGTGAGAAGTGGGCACTGAAAACCTGGAACATGCAAATCTTTCCCATGACACAGAATAAACGCTTCTTTTCAGTGAATCTAACAACACACATTGAGAAAAAGCTGCACTAGGTATTAGAAATTGCTCGTTCTTTCACCATGTTGCATCTCTATGCTTAGGAAATGCTACAACACCTAATAATATGATGTGTTTATCCATGGGTTTCCTTAGTTATCTTTGGAAAAAATGTGATTTTTCCTCTTTCTTTTACATTAAAATAATTCCTGATTCTGGAATTCCCGATTCCGGAATTCCCGATTCCAGATGGCCTGTATAATGTTGATCCTTGTTCTCAAGTCTGGATTAAGTTGGCTTTGCAAGGAAAAAAGTGAGTTGGGGCACAAATGGCTTTGTACATTAGGTGGGTGAATTTGACCACGGCATTCCTAAATTATGAGATGCAAATCAGAATTGCAACTAGCTGCCAGGTTCCTAAGGTTCAGTGTAGCAAATACATTCTTGAGTCTTTCTCTGCTTCATTGCTACAAGGTTAGAAATGGTGGTGGCTTTGTCTGCTACTGCAGGGCTTCTCTTAAGTATATTACTCAATTTTACAAGTTCCCTATAACTCATGAGGTAATTTCACATTGCCCAGACTAATAATTTTCTGAGGACAGGAATGTACTAAGAAAAGACAGTAGATCATGATCTTAAGGGGAGGATGATTTGCCAGATGAAATGTATATATCTGCTCTTGAGCCAGGTGTCCATGCTTCTGTTACAATCAGTGAAGAGAAACAGGGAAGAGTAGGATGTAACTCCACTTCTCTGACAGGGCTAAAGCTGTGCAGATAAATTGTTTCCTATAAATGCCAATTTCTCTACCAACCAAAAAAGGAGGCTTGTATGAATAATTTGGAAGCAGGCAAGCAAATCCTCTCCTTGGAGCTTAAAGCAGAATAAATCTTTCAAGTGGGACACAGATGAAGAAACAAGGCCAATCAGACTAATAATTTGGAACTCAATAATCTACTACTTCTGATGCACTTTGTTTCACAGGAAAATTGCTGTCTAGCTCTGAGTGAAACTGCTAACATTTCACTATAGGAGGGACCATTAAAAAAGGTGAGCTCCCCTGGCAGCCCCATTCAAACTGGAAGACGTTTTCTGTTTTCCCAGTAAGGGATTTTGCCTCCTCAAAGCTGTGCTATTTTCCTTTTTAAATAGTGTCAGCTGTGTATAAAGATGCAAGACACAATTAGTGTCTCAGCCTTCAGCATGCAATGTGATTATTTCTGGTACATTAATATTTCACCTAATTCATCAAAACATACTATTCACCTGCAATAACCCCAGAGGTTCTGTTCCTCCATAGGATTCTAATTGGTTTTACATTTGGTGAAAGCAGTAAGAGAGGGAGAGATTTTATATTTGTTATGTTGCAATGGATTAGAGATCAGGGCAGAACTTTTTCTGAATATTGCTGAAAGAATGTGTTTTGTATTCTGAAAATATTCTGATCCTATCTCAGCCTCTCAAGCCTTTCAAAAATTTTATATTTGTTGTCTCCTCAGAAGGATTTAACTTCTGAATAAATTTAGTATAAGAAAAGAGGTGAAATATTCAGATAAAAGTACCTGTTATGCATTTCTGAGAAAAAATGAGCGCAAGGAAAGGGATGGGGCTTTCCCCCCCCCCACAAGCTCAAAATCATCCAGACCTGGGATTTGGGAAAGGACTCTTAGGTCACACAATATGGAGTAGCCCGAGCGACACAGGGCAGTCCAAGCTGGCATCACACAGTGAGCGTGTGAGGAACTCTTATCCATAAACATAAATCTGTGTCATTGCTTCAGACTTACATAGCAGGTACTTTGAGGAAGCAACTTCTATATCTACTGCACACTTGGATGTCTTCATAACTTGCCCCGAATACTTTCTATTTATCTTGTGTCATATGAAACCCCTACTTCCTTATTCCACAAAAAGTATTTTCAAAAAAAAAAAAAAAGAGAAAAGAAAGAAATAAAAATAAGGTACATATTTTCCCCTCCTCCAAAGTTCTTTCATATATATTTCTTGCATGCAAATGTATAGCTTTTGATATATACATCATTTTGTAGGGTTTTTCTGGCAGGAGAATATTTTAATGTGAATTAGCACAGCTTCTGCTTGCTTCATACACTGGTTGCCTTAGTAACTGTGGCATAGTGCAGCTGAAGTGTGCTGATACCCTTGAAAGGGAGTTTGAAGGAAGCAGATGGGCTGTGATTATCATTGGTTGAATCAATTAGATGAGTAGATTGTGAGATACTAAAAATAATACCTTCAACTGCTTAAAAAATTAATTTTGCAAGAGAAACAGCATTTTCAATGTGATTGTTTAAGATATACGTCATTGTGTTTGCAATATTTTTGTTCTGTTTATATGAGGAGGAAAGACACTATTTTCCTGTCTTTTACCAGAAGATGAACTTGATATCTTTACTTTATTTTTAGTGGTTTCTTCATTTCCAGACAGAGTCTGCTGGTATGAACAAAGTGTGTTAATATGCTAAAAAAATAACAAATCCATGATAAACAAAAGAATTAATTTATAAACTAGTTACCTTTGTTAAGTTCAAAAACAAAGACAAGAAAGGCAATACTAAAATGTCTTTACAAAAAAAAAAAAAGGGGGGAAAGGAAAAATCTCATACTTGCAACTTTGATATTTTTGCAGAATATGAGTTCTTTCCTGGATTAAAACTAAGGTACATTGTATCAGGGAAAAAAATGCTTGGAAATAGTTTTGTAAATTATCAGCTTAATGGATTTACGAAGTATAATTTTATTATCTATATATTTATTTATTATTTACCATAAATTTATTCCAAAGGCAATAGAACTGAGTGACAGTATTTCTAAATTTTCAAATTTTTAGAGAAAAGTTCTCTTTATTTTTAATAGGAAAATTTGCAGACTTAGTGTTTAATATTCTATGGCATTTGCAAAAAAATGGCCACTAAATTTAAAATCACTAATAAGGAAACAAAACCCATATAGGACAAACATTCTTCTGATACACATGAGGTCTTATAACTCTACCCAAATGTAAAAATACACAAATAGCTTAACATGAGAAGTGTGAGAAATGTATTCCTTTTATTGGATGTGAATCCTTTGTATGAAGACTCTCCATTCTTTGTGTCTTAACAGTATCAGGTATCACAGATGCTTTGCAGTCACATTGGAACAAGTGGGGTACCTGGCTTAGTAGCAGTGATGGGTAACCTCCACACACTGGATCTAGAAAGATACATTTCTCTAAGAAAGTTTGATATCCCAGGTGTTTCTGACACGATCACCACATTGAAATGGGCACAGAATCACTTTTCATTTTATCTCAGATAGAATGCTTGCAGAGTTTTGTAGGAGTGTATGCTAGCCCCACTCTTCTGTTGTGTTCCTGCTGTCAAAAATGCTCTGATTACAGCTTATTTTCACTGCTGGGATGCCTGCCTGTTTGGAACACTGCTTTTTATGGTCTCCAAGAAACTCAGAGTGCTGAGGGACTGAAGGAAAAGGTTAGGCATGGAGTTAAAAAAAGACAAGATGAGAGCAGGCACAGCTCATGAGTGGCTACTTTTATTTCCTGTAAGAAATCGCTTTTGGAAGAGAAGAATACAAGATGCAATTACCAGGAAGAGCACGGTGGTAAACTAAAAGGCATTTAGCATAATTTAGTCAAACTAAAGAGATATTTAAAACTTCTATTCTACTTTCATATATACACCTGTAGATGCCTGAAGGTTAAGGGCTCCCTGGTAATTCTCCCTCACACTTCAAGTAATGTAACTTTTTGAGAAAGATGTGCTTTGCTTTGCTGTAGGCCCACATGGGAATGGGGACTGGGGAATTTACTGAGCTCCAGGTACTCTTCCAGATCAGACAAGATTTTTATTAACATTTCAAAACCTTTGCAGCAGCGAATGCCAGTAACTACCACTCGCAAGGCCTGGAGGCTGAGGAAGGTGCTCTCAGAAACACGGGATCTTCAGTAACATTCTCTAAGTCTGATCTACTGGAAAGGCAGACAAATAGAAGGTGTGTGAAACTGTGTCATGCTGTGGGTGTCATGCTGTGTCTTGTCTGTGGGTGGGGGAAGCTGGAACTAGGTGAGAAATTGAAATTTTTATGCTCTCCTGTTTCTTCCATTTATGCAGCTTAGTCCAGCTGAATATGTTGACGTGACTTACACTAGTATCGACCTCTCATGCACTGTGACTGCTTCACTAAATCTGAGTGCCAGAGAAATGGTCAAAGATTCCTGGCTGTTACAGGGGTCAGCAGGTCTCATTGTCTCTTTAATGGTGTTGGTTTTTGTATGCCTTTACTAATTAGCTGATGGATCAACTGATGAAACAGGAAGCAAATCAGGGCTTTATAGTGTGTGCAGAATTTACATGAGCAAGTTATGAAAGTAAACCATCACAGGACTTTTAATTTTAGACATCTTAGTTGGCTGGATTTCAGTCCTGGATGTGTTCAGGATAGCTAACACCACCACTTACACATGATAAAATGAGTGACATAAGTAAGATGAATCACTTCTTAAGGGTTCACTGCCTCACTTGGTTGAAGTATCCATCCCTGTAATGCAACAGTGATGAACACTGTAACAAATCCTAAAAGAGAAAATCAGAAAAATATTGTTAATATATATAGAATACCAGTTTCAAATTATGTATATTCCCATACATGTAACAGAGCACATAGGAAAAAGTACGCGGTACTTAAAGCACACAGTAAATAAATTGGGAAACACTGGAAATTAACCATGTTGTGGCAATTTTAATTGCACGCCCTTTAAGGATTAGATTTTCACTTTAGTCTGTTCCCTTTGTTGTCCCAGTGTTTAAGAGAAAATTTAATCAAAATGGTCTGATTGGGCACTGTCAAGTAGCTTCTTATTTGCATCTAACATGATGAGCTCCCAGAGAGTTTTTTGATGAAATACTTCAAATACGTATCAAAACAAGAAGAAAATTCTTCAAAGAACTTGTTTGAATTAAAGTGTCACTAAATCAAACTTGACTGAACATTGGCCAGTTTTTTAAAATGCAGTAAGTTGAAAGACTTTGTAAAGTTGCTTGGAGGTTGACTTGCTGTAATTTATTTTGTTAATTATAGAAAAGTTCTCACAGAGATACTGGTGAAAGTGAACTCCCTTGTAGTGTGCAACCTGATTTTTTATGTTTGCTGAAATATACAGTTATCCTGAATTTTAGCATAATTTCAGAGATCTCTGTTTCTCTTGCTCTTGTGTGCTAGCTGTAGATTTTGTTTTCTCAGACCTTTCCTTCTGCTGCTACTGACTCTTAATTACATTAGTGGCTAACAGTATTACCTTAATTTCAGGATCACCTGGCAATTCAATCACAAGTTCTTGAGAGACTGATTGTCAATCACCCATGTCATGCGTTCAAATCAACTCTTGATCCTCTCCCCACTTGCAGACTACTTTGGATCATTGTTCCTGACTCAGCACCCACTGCCCAGTTGTCTTTGATGCAAACCCAGGTGAGCTTAAGAAGGGTAAAGATAGTCTCATCTTCCATGCAAAGAAGAATTTCATTTGTTGGCATTATTCATGGTTTTTGTGTTGCTACTAAGAAGACTCTAATAGCAATAGTTAGTTAAGTCAATAGCTTTCAAACCAAAAGCAGAAATATACATTTAATGGGACTTGTAAAATGAACCAGTAATTCTGGCTATAAGGAAAAAAATATAATGGAGAAAATTATTCTATTCCACTATTTTGCAATAATATCATATATATTTTCGTGCAAAGATAAAAAGATGTCAGTTATGCTAGTACTCATCAAAAGTCAGGAAATGAGTATTATAAAGAATGAGTTAGAAGAAAATTACACACATTGTCAAAATGAAATTTCTTCACAAGATACTCTGAATTTTGGTATTCGTTCTGGCCTGTGAGGCATTCTGTAAAACTCCCAGAGGAATATCAGTATACCTTTAAAGTAAGGAAATTCAAACACAAACAATAATTTTTCCTTCTAGTTCACAGAATTCAGAATAATCTTCAATATTTTCCATAGGCTTCCTCTCTACTTTCTTTACAATGCTTTCTGAGTTTACTTTTTTCCTCTCTTTTGCAGTAAAGTAATTGAGGATGAAACACATGCAGAGATTTTCTACTACATGTCCTTTTGTGTGTGGATATGCATAAATACTAAGCTGTGTTACTCAAGTTTTCATAGCAGAAAATGCAGACAACTTTTCTCTGTGCAGAAATTAACCTTCTGATGTGATCAACAGCAACCAAGCTTGTTGCTGAGTAGTGGTAACTGATCCCTTCCGCATTTGCATGCATCTAAACCATAGAAAAAGCCTTTGAAGATACTTTGTAGGGTGGATGTATTACTTATTTTGTGTTATTGCTGTTTATATTTCAAACAAGATATACACAGATGCATACCTCTATATTTTTTGCTAACCTCTATGTACAGATACTCCTAAGCCAGTGAATTCAAGTATTTACAGAACTGGAACTCATTTACAAAGTATTTCTAAGCTCTGATCATATAAGCCATATGAATATGTATGTCTTCAAACTTAAGAAATAGAGGACCTACTAAGATCTGATTTTCCAGTTAAAAATCCTAGGGTCATGTTAGATTAGTCCCCCACAGAACCTGACAAAACAAGGTCAGAATAAAACATCTACCATGAAAACAGAACAAAACCTGAGAACTAATATTGATGATATCTGCAGTCTGTCTTTGGGAGGGACATGTGATGAGTTAAAACTGATCTCAAATCCTATATGACCTCTGAACCAGCTTTTAAGTTTGGGTGGAAAATGGAAATGTAAAACAAACAAACCAACCCAGAAAGAAAACTAAACCCCATGAAATTATCTCACCTTTTGTGTCCTCAAGACGTATATGCCATTTTTCCTGTTCAAAATATTTTGCTTGGTCAGGATATTTTTTCTCATATAAGTTTCCTTTGGAAGCCTTAAGTCATAATCTGATTTTATGAGGTACATGTAAATAATTTAAAATATCTGCTCAAAAAAAAAAAAAAGGTTTTTGGCAGCCTACTTCAGGGAAAAGTCAGTGAAAGGTTAATGCAGATGAAAATCTCATGGACAGCTATATTAATACTGCACAATGCTCTGTAACTCTTGGCAGTGCTGAGTTCACAAGGATGCTGAAGTGCCTCTAGCCAGCTCTAAATATTTAGTTGTAACAGCTTAGTTCTAGACATTTTCATTTTGGGTATAGGCAGATCTGCATAAGCAGAGAATAATTCTAACAAGCTTCTAAAATTGTAGGATGTCATAAAAGCAGGGGAAATGAATGTGTAAAAAAAGAAAGCTACAGAGAAGAGAAAATGAAGAATTAGTTCTCTTAGTGCTTTGTATATAATGCTAGAGGAGCCAAGGCATCGTCAAAATTAATATGATGAAAAAGTAAGACTTTTCAGAAAATCTGCTCAATCCTTGTGATACTCCATAAAGTATCTTAATTAAATATTTTGCCTAGAATTTTGAAGGATTGTTTCCAATAGATCCTGCCTTTTGAAGGGCTTATTGACTAGTTTATCTCTTGTGCTCCTTTCCAGACGCTGGACTTTGTGATTCATAAAATACAGTAACAGCATAATGACAATTGAAATTTCATTCAATTGTGTATTTCATTCAATAAGAAAAAAGTAAAAGTATATGAAAAAAGTATCAAGTGGATGCTACAAAAAATATTTTATTTAAAATATCTACGATAAGAAATCAGAAATACTTCAGAAAACAGTCTATGCACTTAAAATGCTTCCTTGGGAGGGGAGAAGGAGATGCGCTGATCTCTTCTCTGTGGTGGCCAGTGACAGGACCCAAGGAGTGGCCTGAAATTGTGTCAGAGGAGGCTTAGGTTGGGAATTAGGAGAATGTGAGAATGTTCTTTGAGAGTGTTGTGCACTGGAACAGCTCCCCAGAGAGGAGGTCACAGCACCAAGGCTGACAGAGCTCAAGAAGCATTTGAACAAGGCTCTCAGGCACATGGTCAACCCTTGGGGCAGTCCTGTGCAGGGCTAAGAGCTGGAATTGATGATTCCTCTGGTTTCCTTCCAACTCAGGATATTCTGTGATTCCATAAGGTTCACTGTGTGCTAACATTGGAAATTACTTGTAGTATTCCTTTTGTAACACCAGTTTTTGGAAAAATATACTCTGGGAAGACATGGTTTTCAATAAGGAATTGATGATGAATGATGTTTAATGATGGTTCATTGGCTCATTCTGCAGATTGCCTGACTCTTGAGCTGTCTAATTAGTTAATATCTTCTGGAATTTGCAGAATTTTTTTTCACTTATCCCCACACTGAATATTTTTTTTTTTTTAACAGAACAGAACTCATTCCAGATTCTTTTCCACAGTTCAGTCTGGTAGAAAAAAAAGGGACTAATGAAACCTTTGAATCTGTAAAAAATTAGGAAGTCTTAGATCTTCATATATAGCACTGAGACACTGCTCATGAAATCCATACATTTTAAACAATGTTGAAAAATTGGGGCAGATGAAGAAAAAAAGCTGTTGACATATTCCTAAGATTAGAAAGTATCTTGCTGTGAGGAAGTGAGCACAATCCATTTACTTTATCTGAAATAAAATTGAGATGTCACTTGATTGCAACATATGAGTATATAGTGGTTAAAAAAAAAAGCACCTAAATTCAGCAGGGAAAGACATAATTAGAGCTTGCTAGCTAAGCCACAGATACTTGCATCAGAAATTTAGGACCACTTTTTAACAACGATGATAATTAAGTGATGGAAATAATTACTATGGGGTTGGTAAATTTACCATCTTTAAAGTCCTCAGCATGGCTGGAAGGAGTAATAATGTAGGATATTCTTCATTTCTTCCAGCTGAAATCCTACTGGTTTGGGGAGGAGGAGGATGCTACTATCTTCCTCATACTTCTTGGAATAAATGTGCCAAAGCCAATTAAATTTTTTTTCTCAAAATTTTCCCATAATTAAACACCAATTACTGCAATTGAACAGAGAGATACATGATTGAGATCTAATGACCTGTGATATGGAGCACGAAAAACTAAATCAATGAGCTTTTGTATTTTGATATGCAAATCTGCAGACTTCATGCAGAGTTTTGAAATCTGGAGTAGAAATGTAACTCTACTGACTGTGGTCTTGGTTTTCCTCCTCATTTTGTGAGAATTGCCTGCCTTAAACAATATTGGAGTTTATGTTGTTCATAACCTGCCTGTTTCCAGGTTAGGGTTGAATTTTTTTTCCCCACATGTTGCATTTGTGAGTGGGAAGGTTGTCATAATTTTTGGTGCATAATAAGATCTTAATATAGTTTTCTGTAGTTGTTATGGAATCATAAAATAGTTTGTGTTGGAAGAGACCTTCTAAATGTCATCAAGTTGAATTCCCCTTCAATGAGTAGGGACATCACCAACTAGACTCTTAGAGAACCTAACCTTGAATGTGTCCAGAAATTGAGCATCTACCACCTCTTGGGAAAACTTGTTCTAGTGAGTTTCCAACCTCATTAAAAAAAAAAAAAAATCAAAATTCTTTCTTATCTATAATCAAAATTCAGTTTAATACCGTTACCCCTTGTTCTATTGCAAGAGGCTGTGGTAAAATCTTTGTCACCATCTTCCTTGAAGGGCTCTTTTAGGTACTGAAAGGTTGTTATAAGGTCTCTCAGGAGCCTTTTGTTCACCAGGCTGAACAAGCCTGATTCTCTCTGCTTGTGTTCATTGGAATGGTGTTAATTGTCATGGCCTCTGGACTCACTCCAGCCCTTCCTGTGCTGGGCATCCCAGAGCTGGATGCAGCACTGCAGGTGGGGTCTGAGCAGAGCAGAGGGGCAGAGTCCCCTCCCTGCCCTCCTGGCCACACTGCTTTGGATGCAGCCCAGGGCACCTTTGGCTTTCTGGGCTGGAGCTCACACTGCTGGGTCATGTCCAGCCTCTCACCCACCAGAAGGACACCCAGGTCCTTCTTGGCAGGGATGCTCTCAATTGATTCATCCCCCAGCCTGGGTTGATATTGGGAGTTACCTGGTTGCAGTTCTCTAACATTGCTAGTCATGTTTATATAACTTTTAGAAAATAAATGTTCCTACTATTACAGTACAGGTTTTCATCCATTTATGTGCAAAATTGCCATGGCAGCCCGTGTCAGAATTTCACAAGGCATGAAATCTGCACTTGTTCTGTGTGCAGACCTTAAGGAAATGAGATAAAGATGAGTAAACATTACACAAAAGCAGTATTATATATCTAAAATCTGCCATATCCAAGTTTCCCATGCTGTTGATTACCTATGTGATATATCAATCACTGTGTTATTCCAAAACAAAATCAATCAAACAGGGCAATTCCTAACTTGTAAAGATCAAATTAGTGTGGTATTCTAAACAGGAATGCGTGTTTTTATAACTTTCATAAACAAATTAATAAGAATTATCATAGCTCTGCATTGTAATATCTTGCTACCTGATTTCTTGAAAAATACCTGA